AGGGGGACACTTCACCTTCTCTCCTAGCTGTTAGACAGCCAATTCCATCCGGACCAAGGGTGTCACATGGTGTTCATTCAAACGTGCTCAGCAATGTGTTTTTGATCGACAAAACCTATCCAATATCTGACAAAGTCATAAAATGAGGGGACAAAAACTTTCAACCGCTGCCACTCCTTCAGAGGCTGAATTTGGATCCAGAGCTGGAGAGCTACAAGCCTGCTTCCCTTATCATGTCAATTCATTAAAATCACACACTCACGGCAATTCTCTGTGGAGAAACTATCACCGAACTATTAATAAAATCTTCCTGAACTATTAATATGGTCTGTGGGAGCTTTAATCCACCGTGGGACTGATTATGTAAGCGCACAGGCATGAAGATGCTGTTTTTATCCTCAGTTTAAATGACCTTTGGGTTTAAACAGTTTTGTTTATGATTGAAATCTGCCTGAATCTATGGGAAATTATTTTCTTTCAAAGGGGATTTTATTTTGATTTGCAGTAAACTGGCAAGTATGATCTAGATTAAAGTGCATTTGGATGGCCAGATATGTGTTTGCTTTTCCAATTGCAAAGGGTGGAAGCTATGAAAGCATTTTAAAAATGTTTGTGTCACTAAATTCTAATGTTCCATAGCCTAGAAATATGCTATAATCTGGTTTTTGAGCTCAGGTCATTGGTCTATGAAGTCAATTCATGCAGTTCAAATAGATTGGCCTGAGCATCATGTTGGATTTATTCCTAATTTTGTGTTCCAAAGATTGTTTTGCTTTTCTGCCACGCTTTGGTGTGAGGAGATGCTGGAAGATCATTTTGATTTTTAGCTTTCAGGCAGTTCAGAACAACACCACAGAAAAGGTTTCTGATGCGTTGTCATGCCAAAATAAATAGATGTCATGAAGGCAAGTACAGGCATAAATAGTGAAAAATTGTATCTCATTCATCTCTTAGCTATCGCTCCCGAGCTATTTAGTGGAACATTATGTACCAAGAGTTTGCAGTCCCAGACTCATTCCAGTTCAGCAATTTCCCTGCACAGGAGGTCTGAGCAGAGAAGGCAAACAATGATCTCCATAACATTTTCCTCTGATCTGCAAGCTTGGAGATACTTCTCCAATGTGCAACAAAAGACATATTGAGGTCTGTATGGATTTCGGGGTGCCTGTGACAGCTCCACTGTGGCACTCAAGTGTTCATTTCTTTCTCTTCTTTGGGGACGATGTAGAGGGGAATAATGGAAAACAGTAAAGAAACATATATAAATAAAGTTAAAAAAAAGACAGATCAGGCAAAAGAAAAGTCTCATCTATGGCACTGGTTTCATTCAATCGACACGAACAATTAAACCCTGTGTTTGGACTGTTTTCTCTCTCTAGATTCTATTTATCTACATGACTTTGGAAAGGTGCCACTGCAGCATGGTTAGGTGTATTGCTTGTTTTAGTCCACTTCAGGTCCCAATGAAGAAGACCTGGTCTGACTCTGGAGTGAGCTAGCTGCCCAAGCAGGTATCTGGAGTCCTTTCACTGTTTCTTCCCTGCTATTGCTGAGTAGCAAGTTAACTAGATTAGCACTGGGTTGGATGTATTTATTCATGCTGCAATTTCATCTCTGAGTAACGTGCTAATATGTCCAACCTGGTTTTCAGAAAAAATGACAGTAGTGCCCACAAATAATTAGACCAATTCCTGCGTGCTATATTTTCTTTATGCCATTGGAATAAGATGTAAATATATCCCCAGAACGGGGTATTTTTAACAAGAAATCAGGTTAAGAAAAGGCTCCATGATCCCAGGGTCCTTTTCACATAGGCTCCAAAAAATGTTCCTCATTATAAAATACACCTTCCCAAGGAATCACAAGACATGAGAAATCAAAAGAGTATTCCTAAAAGCAAAAGCTCTCCAGCAGAAAATCAATTTCAGCTACTTTCACCTTGCCCCAGGGAAAGCAGCAGAGACACTAAGTGGGGTGTGGGAAAGGTCTCATACATCTTCCTGGAACTGCGCAAGGCAGACCTCCAGATGGGAGCTTTTCTTTCCAAGACAGCTCTGCTCTAATTAGGGACTTCTGTAAAATTGGTATGTTGCGGTTCCAAACAGTGTCTGGATGATTCCCATATCAAATTTCTTTGGTTTAAAAAAAAAAAAAATTATGTCTTTGTCCTTGTTCTAATTGACAGCCTTACAAATGCAGGTGGACTGAGGGATGAAGGTCAAATTGAGCTTATTGTGCTTAATAGGGTAAGGAAAAAAACCAGCAAAAAGTAACTCACAAAAAAATGTGCTTTGGTTGTTGTTTCCTCCCTGCCATCAGGTTGCCTTTTCAAGGGTCTTTGTGCATTTTCAGGTGTACCTTCAGAATGAAAAGAAAGAAATTGCCTTTAAATAAAACCCTTATAAGAAGGGTTTTCTTGTAACACTTAATCTACTGATGTACCAGACAGTATCTAGTTTACGGATTGAACACTCTATGTTGGGTGGACATAAAATTAATTTTGTATGTAGGAAAGTACATCCTACTCCTTAGTCACCCTTTTGCAGAGGCAATCTGCCAGTTTAAGCCTCTGGTTCCTACAATCCTCAGCATTCAGACCTTTCTGGATAATGTGGTATCAAGGCTGGTAGACATCATCTAAAACAACCACTTTCCTCCTTGGAAATGAAGTCTGACTGACATTTCTCGCTGAAGACTGTGATTAGTATCATCTGTACATTCCAGTGAGAATGCAAAACAATTCTTCTTTTTTGGGTCAATGTAAATCTGTGTCTTCCCATCTCTCTTTTCTTTACTGTCCTTTGCTTCAGACTCAGACTTTATCTTCTACACTGACCTATGCTGCTATGGTACAACCTGGGGTAGCAGTGGCATCTCAGCCCCAAAGAGCAAAGGAGTCCAGAACTTCTCCTTTAGAGATACAGCTTGTGGGATGGCAGCTGTCTTGACAAATACAGAATTTAAAAAAAAGAAAAGATGGCAAATATGGAAAAGTCCAATATTTCCTCTGTTTTTTTGTTTGTTTTTTTTAGAGTATTCCATGGAAAGTTTCAAATCTTCAAATTTTCATTCCTGTGTGGGAGGATAGCAAATGAATATGTGAATTTTGCATGAGATGGGCATTTTTGGCTCTGGTCTGCTTTAAAACCCAATTTTAAGTTATCACAGGGTAGAAAATAACTTTGGGCTTCAGTTCACACCTCTGCTGGTCAATATTTTTTCTAGGTGGGCTCAGATTCTCTGCAGTTGTTTCTCAGCACAGCCCAGTTGAAGTCACTGCAATCTGCAGCACTGCAGTCGTTTATATCAGTCAGAGCTGCATCCCTAAACTCTACGGAATATTCTAGCAGCAACAGAAACACAGTCATCTTTATCTTGCCTGAACACCTCAGAGGAGCACATGCCATCCTTAAAAAGTTTAGTTCCTAGATTTCTGGGATTTAAAATGGGATCACCTGTTATGTTACACTACTTGGCCTCCTGTGTGCTGGCCTGGCTACCCACTAGTCTTGCACAGAGCACCCGATAATGAAATTTGCAAAGATTTCAGGCCAACCGATGTGTCCAAGTTGTACACAGCTTACACTACTGTACAGCAAAAGAAAAAGGTATCAATTAATGCCTGTGGCTGCTCACTAACATTACCTGAGTAGGGTTTAAGAGACTGCTGGGGCGATTCGTGACCAGTGCTAGAGAGAGTAGAGAGCCCTGCCAATCTGCCCTGGGTAGTAGGAGGTGGTGGGACACCTACATATTGCTAAATCTGGGAAAAAAATTGACCTAGAAGCAGCACAGAAGCTACACCAAACAGGTGTATAAGGAGATTTTCCATATCATCTCCCAAATCCACCCCGTATCCTCACCAGCTGTTCTCAATCTCTGATGCTGTGGAGGAAGGTGAGAGAAAGCCCTAGGATAGCCCACGCTAATTGTGGGGGGAACGAACCTGTCTGAGTCCCGGAGCCAAAGCCCTGAAGGAGGAGACCTGATTATGCTCTGCCTTTACAGGCTGAGCCGCAGGGGTTAGCAGTGCTGGCAGGATGAGGACCGCTTCGTCAGGATCTCCCTTCACGGGGGAGGGAGAGGCTCCTCTCCTCTCGCTGGAAGCGTATTTGCACACAGGAGCAGAGGTCATCCCGTGATTTATGCAAGCGAAAAAATCCTGGGCTCTTCCCTGACTGACTGACTCATTTGTTAGATGAGAGTGTAGGTACAAAACGCCCGTCACAATATTCAATAACCTTTAAAGGCATGCCAGCAACCTCCTCTTTTATTAAACGTGCCACGGTGGCTGAGCGGAGTGGGACGCGATCGCAAACACCTCCCCGGCGGGACGCTACCTGCATGCTAATGCCGAGGGTGTTTGTGCACAGCCTGGCAGCCAGCGCTGTGCTCCGGCAGTTTCCATGGTGCTGTCATGGTGCGCTCTCCCTACACCTTCACTTATCAGCGTTTCCCACCCATCCTCCTCCCCATAATATGCTGCTCGCTCACCCCGAAAGGTCAGCCATTGTAATGATGATTTTAACAGGGGGGAGGCTGGGAGGCCAAAGGGTGAAAAGGTGAGCTCTGTGCAGCAATGTGCGTGGGAACCGGGGGCTTCCCTTGTGCCGCACAATGAGAAATTCGAAATCTTCCCCTCGAGGGAGCGGTGCTCATCAACCCCCTCTCACTCCCCATCCCGGCCCAGTCAGATGCCCTGACGGAGTTAAAAAATGTTCAGGCAAAGTGGCTGGAGAGCCTACTCTAAATCATCGGCAATTGATGCGTTAGTGTGTGTAGGGCGAGCAGGGGCTGTGCCTGCTAGCAGAGGAAACTGATGCAAACATTTCCAGGCATCTTTCTTTCTTTTTCCATCTCCCTCCTGCCCCCCTCCCAGCAAGCCCAGTGCTCGTTTGCAGATGGGAAGAGGCAGACTTCGTCCTCTGACTTTCATCCTATTGACCGCCGAGCTAAAGCACTCCATCTATTAACTGCCTTCCTTTTCTTTCTTTCTGTAGGACAGCTTTCCTGCCCGTTTTGGAGGAGTCCATTTTGTCAACCAGCCCTGGTACATCCATGCCCTGTACACGCTAATCAAACCGTTCCTCAAAGACAAGACAAGGAAAAGGGTAATTAGCCGGGGCCAGGGGGGATAGGAATCTGCAGAGCCGGAGCTGAGTAGCTGCCTGCTTTCTTCCTCGTTTTTCCTCTCTGCATTTTTCATATGGCCTCAGAGAATTGTTGCTGTTATTAAAACTTAGAGTTTGCAATGGTCTGGATTGAATCAATAACTCAGTCAGGGACCAGAACTGTTATCACTAACGAAGCATAGATACATTTTAACGGGACATGCTCAGGGATAGAGAGAATTCACAACATGAGGCATTATCAGGCCTGGCTGAAGTCACCTGCAGTGAGGGAAACTTCAGCTCATCTCTTTTTGTAGGAGTAAAATTTCCTATTTCATTCCTTCAGCAAGTGGACTGTTTTCACATGGCGGTGACCCACTTGTTTCCACAAAAAATGCCCATGCCTGAAGGCTGTTTGCTCACACTGCAGAAAAGGAAGGTCTTCTCCACTGAAACCTATATGAACTGTGCTCCTGCAGTCAGCTTAGCCGTTTGTCCTCTGCAGTCTATCAAATGACCACTGAATCACCTCAGGAGGTCCCAGAGCCCACCCTGAGGTGTGCCTGACCGTGCAGGACATGGGTAGCAAAGAGGGATTGGAGAGACAAATGTCTCTGAAGCAGTGCAAAGCGGCTATGCAGCCTGGTGCACCCCTGGGAAACATCAGTCCCTGGTTGCAGGGCTGGGTTGCCCTCTCAGACACTGAGGATCTACTCTTCACATCTTCTTTCTGTAGAGCTCCACTATCTCCCTTTTCTTCTGACCGCTCTTCGTACAGGCCTCTATCCTCTTACAGTAGAAATAATCTGTCATTATCCCCAACTTCCACTTTCCCTGATCTGGTACTTAAGAAAGTGAAAGTGCCATATGCCAAAAGCAAGCAAACTGGTGCTTTCAGCAGTGTTTACAGTGTCAGCCTAATCCTTCAGCTGCACGCCCCAGAGCTAATCCCCCTGCTCCCACCTGCCCAAATCTGTCCTGAGTGCTTCAGAAATTCCCACCTGAAATTGCAGCGTCAACTAATGATGCTCCACACCTCATTAGTGTTGTTATTACTGTACTTAATGAAGTAAGGAATCATTGATGACTTTGAACTCTCTTTTTATTTATCAAAGATCTTTCTTCATGGTAACAACCTGAACAGCCTTCACCAGCTAATACACCCTGAATGCCTGCCCTCTGAATTTGGGGGGACTCTTCCTCCGTACGACATGGGGACGTGGGCTCGAACGTTACTTGGTCCTGACTACAGTGACGAAAACGAGTACACCCACACCTCCTACAACGCCATGCACGTGAAGCACGCGTCCTCCAACCTGGAGCGGGAGGCCTCGCCCAAACCCATGAAAAGGTTAGTACTGCCTTTGAAATAGTCTCTTATTTGTCTTTCCAAACCGGTTTGGCATAAACCTAGCAGGAAGGGCTCATCTGGCTTGGAGAGAGGCCGTAATTTGGAAAACAGAGATGACAAGGAGTGCTTCACCCTGGACTGCATCCGCGGTGTGGCAGGGGGAAGGAAACCTCTCTGTGGAACCGTAATTGCTTGTCTGATTACTATGAAGGAAAACAAGGGGATATTAATGACCCACTGCACAGAGCATTACAGAAAGCATCTCAGAGTGAGGCGCTCTTCAGTACGTCGTGGAGTGCCCAGCAGCACTACTTCGGTGCTGGTCCCTGTTACTTACTGCTGCTGACCCCAGTTATTAACAATAAGGGTTTTACCTCCTCAGAAATGCAGCTTTTGTACGATGAACACCACTGCCCTCTAAAGGGAAATGCGTTAGTCTCCTCCCACTGCTTCTGCTCCTGCTTTCTCTGTCCAGCCCTGCTAAGGTGGCAGAGCCGCTCTTTTAAGACCTCTGATTTTAGATCTAGTGGCTGTGCATTCAGCTCTGAATTCGTTAAATTACACTTCTTGAGAGTATCACCCTCAGTGGTTGGCGGGATGGGTGCGGAGGGTTGGATACCTGGCACAGGTTTGTGGGTGGGTCAGCAGATCACATCTGCACATGGCTCACCCTCGGCGCTGCACTCCGTGAAGCTGCTTTCCATGCCGGTCGCAGCGATGCTTCCACTCGCTGCTGCCACTTGGCGAGTGAGGTTCTGGCAGACACGGTGTCACTCTGTGTGACAGAGAGCGGCCGTCATTTTGTCACAGCAAAATCAAAGCTGACAACACAGACAAGCCATAACGTCATGCAGTTAATTTTCAAAGTCTTTCATCTTCAGAGGGAAAAGAAATGCACTGTTGATTCACAGCTCCCTACCCAGGTCAGAGGGGTGCCACGCTGCTGCAGCTGCAGTGTGAAGCCTCGTGCTGGAAACACTCACACGTACAACTGATGTGAAGTGCTGTGAGCCCCACAACTCTCAGGGCCACGAGACCGAAGGGCTACGACCCTTTGCAGTGTTGCAGCCAAGGCATCAAGAGAGGTGGCCTTCTGCATAGTCAGCAGTTCTCACTACTGACGGCCAGCCAAGACTGGGAGCCAGGATGAGTTTACAGAGCCTGTCCCAGAGAGCTGATTTAATAATTTTTTTAAGAAAATATTAGCGGTGAAACACACTGAATGATTTTAGAAAGATGCTAACTAAATATTCCATTATTATTAAAACATGTATATTGGGAGTGCACAATTTGTATAGATTTGTAGTAAGACACCTGCAGTTTTCAAAGGTCTGAAGAGTTAAGAGCTGTTCACAGGTAAATCTTTGCTGAGGATCAAATCCTCTGCTGCAAAGGAGGAAGGGTCTTATAGTGCCCTCAGGGGAGAACCTCAGCTTGAAAATGAGTTCAGTGCCAGAAAACCCTGCCTCAAGGCAAAGCCTTCTTTTGTAATCTGTTCACTAATACAAAAGTACATTAATACAAATACGGCGAGTGGATGAATCTAATTTGTCATGTTGCCTCTGGGCAGACTAGATCTAACTTTTAGCCTAATTTTGTTACTTGGCGGTTAAGTGAACCATCTGATCTTGTACCCTGTGGTCATTACTAGCTGTTAGAGGTGAAAAGTTCACTGCTTCAATAGATCTTCCCCTATGAGTATTTGCTTTGATTCTTCTTCCCCTGAAATTACGTTTTGGCCTAACTTGAGGTAAAAGCCTACGCTTAGGAAGCATAATTGTGTGCTTTATTAGATTTATTAGATCAGATTTATATCTAAAGCCTATTGAAAGACCTACATACTTCTATCAGCATTACCTGTCTTTATATAACCCCCCTCCTTGCCTCTTTTGGTTCATACATCCCTACAACCATCTCATGAACACAACCACAGAGTTTCAGGCCATGGCAGAGATTCGTGGATACTCCAGGGAGGTTTATATTAGGCACAGGTGATCTCCTAGCATTAGTCTTCATCTTAAATATAATTCCCCCACAATTGTCATATTAGTTTTTCCCTTATTAAAGCAATTTTGTACTTCTGTTAAAAATCTCTCTCCTCCTCCTCCACGCACAGTGTAAAAATCTTTAAACTCCTGAGTAAACATAGTAATTTTGTAAACTTCTCTATGCTGAAATGTTTGGTTTAACTAAACTGTGGCTGACCCTTTCTTCAGCACATTCATTCCTCTGAAAGGGGTAAGCATATGAAGACTGAGCCTTCTTGGGTTTCTGTAATTTAAGGATGAAAAGCCTTGTTGAATAATTATGGGTCTTCGCCTTTCTGACTGCCCAGATATGCCTGCAGGTTCACCTGCCCTGTAATCAGCTGCAGGGGAGGGCAGTGCTTACGAGAGGTGGATTTACCCCAGAGGCTGGGTGGTGGTGGTTCTTCACCCCCCCCCACCCTGGAGCACCGTTCTGCTGCAGGACAGGGCGTAGGGTTGGGGGTTGCCCCTCTGGGCTCTGCGGGCACCATGCAAGCAGGTCCTCACTAGAGCAACCACTGGGCCAGGGCTGCGTGAAAGCTTTCTTAATCTTGGAGCTTGGTACTGCTGGAATAGCTTGGAGTCTCGCACTGGGACCGCAGAGAAATGTCCCTGTGAAATACTGTAGTGCAAATGACAGCAACTCTGAGTCAGAAAATTGCTGACCTGGCAAAGCTGGCAAGAGAGGCCTCTCTCAGAGACTGCTGCCCTACACCTAGAGAGAAGCTCACCCTGGGCACAACCTACTCAAAATACAGTGTCTAACAATTACAGAATTTTAGTAGCAGAGATGCTGAGAAATCAATGCAGGAATTACAGATTTGAAAGAAAAATGCCAGGAAATGGAATCAGTGAATAACTGAACAAAACACCTGTGCAGGCACTTAATCTATGTTAGAAAATGAATCCAGAGAGGGAGAAAGGGGACAATATGAAGTTGTGCCTGAGACCAAACTGAAGTCAACACCTGAAAATTAAAATAAGCCTCAAAATGCACACCAGGGGAAAATGCAGCACCAAGCAGCAGTGGGAGGGAGTGAAGCTGGAGCAGGTACATGCCCCTATGTTGGCTTCAGGACTGACAGCAGTGCTTTGGCTCCTGTCACCAGAGCAGATGAGTATAAGTTGAAACAAGTTCACCTGAGAGTTGTGAGGATGGTGAGGAGACCGGAGAGTGTATTTTTACAGCAAGAAGCTATAGAAGAGAGCGGTCCATTTATCCTCGCAGAGCAAAGGTTGAAATGGATGTGACTGTTCTCTACAAATACAGAAGGGAATAAAAACAGGGGAGAAAGAAAAGCTATTCAAGGAAAAGGACCACTTGGGCATGAGATCAAATGCATGTAAGCTGGTCAAAGTATATTTTGGCTGCAAATTAGGATAGGAGGTTTGCTAGCTGTCAGAGGAGTGAGTTACTGAAACAGCTTGTCAATACGACAACCGAACTGACACACAAGTGAAAGTCTGACATGAGGTGGCTTCCAGCAGTCACAGGAGACTAGACGGGCCCCTCAAAGTCTCATTAGGTTCCAGTTTCTGCTTCCCTTAGCAGCAAGGGGACAGGAACTTTTTCTCCCCAATCACATGCAGGGGTGGTTTTTCACTGGGACTAGAAATCACACAATATTTGCTCTTGAAAAAAACTCTTTGTTTACTTCAGAGAATGGAGGCATTGTATATGGGGAAAAGATTGAAAATCCTTTTAGAAAAAAACTGCCACTGACTCTAGTTAGCAACGTGATCTTGAAAATCTTGATGTTTGACAAGTTTCTATAATATGGAAAATCTTTAATCAAAACCATCGCAATTGTCATTCTTCCACCAGTGGCCACACGAAGCCCCACTGGGGCAAAATCAAAACAGTGGAAATTGCACTCCCATCTGCAGTATTATCTCACACCCTGGGAAATATCCCAGAGCCCAAGTACTGTATGAACAGATGGGAAACAAAGCAAAACAGCTGATGCCTGCAGATAATGAGTTTTAATGGCTGGGGGTGGGGGGGAGGGAAGACAACAATAACAAAAATCCATTCAGAATATATCTGTTTATTAAGATTCAGCTCAGTGAAGTTTGAAATGGGCAAGGTAATAAACACGCAAACCAGCATGAATGCAGTAATAGCAAAGTCCATTCAATGCAAGAGCTTGGTCGCATCCGTTTGACAATCCTGGGAGTAGCAATGGCAAAGCAAGCTTCCCCTGTCTTGGGCTGTCTCCTCTGAACCGTCTGCATCCGCACAGGGAGCCTGTCACCTAGGAGCTATGGCATTTGAGAGCTATGTAAGTGGTGTGAAAATTTGGAGCGCAGGGAAGAAAATCACCTCCATTTCAGCTGTGGCCAAACCTTCTGCGAGCCCTGATGGTCAGAAAGGGGCCTTGGGTTGCTTTGATCAACAGGGAGCTAATACAAAAGCGAAGCATTTGCCCTAGGCACTAGTGCTGGCTTTTGCTGATGAGCTGTTGTTTTTGGGAACAGCTGGAGGTTTTATCTGGGTGTGCAGTGTAATGAATAGTTATGGCGGATGGTGAAGTCTAGCAGTTAAAGAGTCAGAGACTGCTCTCGACATATCACCGTGCCAATAGGGCGTAGTCTTCTTGCCAGCCACAGTGGGATGAGCATGCCTGTAGCTATTTGGGTACCTAACAACAGTGAGTGAGCATCCCCACTTTGAGAGATAGATCCAGTGGCTGGGGAAGGTGTGAAGGAGCTCAGCTCTTTGAAGAGTTTCTTTTTTCCCCAGTGTCACACTACTCATACACTTGGGTCCAGCAGCAGTAAGTAACCTGCAGTAGCACGTTGCCTCCCTGCGACTTGCTTTTCTTTACAAGATCTGCCATTCTGCAGCTGCATCTGGATCACTTCTTGATGTCTGAACTTGATCTTCAGCTGAAGTGACAAAAACTGTTCGCTGCCTTTGCTTGTTCACCGTGCAGTCACCAAGCACAGCCTGGGAGCTGACTGCTCCTTCTC